TCATTTACAAGCGATATCTTAAATATATTCTACTGTTTTTTCATTTGCAAAAGTGACTGAAAGAAAAAGTATGATTTGTGCCCCATCGGGTGGCCAAACTGGAAATTTCAAACAAGTTCCAGCAAGGCAAGTTCCCTAACTAATCAAGATAATACCTTCGGGAAACTGGAGCCTGCAACAGTGTTCTCATGGGAGAGTTCTATAAATGAAAATCGTAATAATGTCACAGCAATGTTTCCTTACACTTGGAAAAAAAAGGGAAGCACAACTTAGAAGAACCTCTTTCTTTCCAAATCCTGCCAACAAAAAATTAACACATGACCTCACTTTTTATTTAAATAAAATAAGAGTTTTATTGGGTTAATTTTCTATTCACAGGTCAAACCCTCATCAAAATTTTTGACAGGATGTTACTAATGTAAAAGAATGTTTTAATAACAGCCCTTTGGGGGCCAGCACTGTGGCACACTGGGTTAAAGCCCCAGTCTGCAGTGCTGGCGTCAGAATGCCGGTTTGCATGCCAGCAGCTCCACTTCTGATCCAGCTCTCTGCTATGGCCTGCGAACCGGCATCTGATGCCAGCTCCACTTCCGATCCAGCTCTCTGCTATGGCCTGGGAAAGCAGTAGAAGATGGTCCAAGTCCTTGGGCACCTGCACCCATGTGGGAGACCAGGAGGAAGCTCCTGGCTCCTGGCTTTGGATTGGCCCAGCTCCAGCAATTGCAGCCATCTGGGGAGTGAACCAGCGCATAGAAGACCTCTCTCTCTTTCTCTGCCTCTGCCTGTAACTCTACCTCTCAAATAAATAAACAAATCTTTAAAAAATAATAACAGTCATTTAAATTCTGTCCTCCTCATAAATCAAATTAAAACACTTAAAAGCACAGAAATTTAGAGTTGGCTGAGTCCTCAATAAATATAGGGCTGTGAGTTTACAAGCCATCAAGTTCAGGCTGGTGCTATGGTGCAGCAGGTTAAAGCCCTGGCCTGAAGCGCCTGCATCCCATATGGGCGCCGGTTCTAGTCCCGGCTGCTGCACTTCCTATCCAGCTCTCTGCTATGGCCTGGGATAGCAGTAGAAGATGGCCCAAGTCCTTGGACCCCTGCACCCACGTGAGAGACCCAGAAGAAGCTCCTGGCTCCTGGCTTCAGCACAGCTCTGCCCGTTGCGGTCATCTGGGGAGTGGACGAGCAGATGGAAGACCTCTCTCTCTGTCTCTACCTCTCTCTCTAACTCTGTCTTTCAAATAAATAAAATAAATCTTAAAAAAAAAAGAAAAGAAAAGAAAAACCATCAAGTTCAGGTTCTCTGACATCCAGATGGAGAAGTTTAAATGCTAGAAGGAGGAAGTGATTTCATCAGTCACACACAGCTGGTGTGACCTGACTCCCAATGCTTACACATGCAGTGCTCAAGAGACTAGCCATATATATATATATATATGCATAAATTCAATTAACTGCCATGTACCCATAACTAGACTAACTGCTCCCTAATTATTAATATATACTCATATTGCTAGACTAATATACATATATATTCCTAAGCAAGTGCGCTTACTCACTCTGGACCTTAGTTTCTCGACTCAAAAAACAGAAGATAGAAAATATTTAAATTCCTCTCAGCTTTAAAATCCTGTCATTTTTTTAGACTTCATTATTTTAGTATCTCACAAAACCACAGCATATACTGAAAAAATCATTCCTAGTTCATGAGAAACCAAACAAGCTCAGGACCCCAGGGAAAGAAAACACAAGTCAGCAGCCTAAGGTACCAAATGACAGTGTGCTTTTTTTGTTAATATTCTATAAAATTTTTTAAAAATGCTGTAAAATATTAACATGGTCATACTAGTCTATCTGGTTGAAACTGCTCTAAGTTAGTTTTGATTAATCAATTATAGAGCTCTAAAATATAGAGTCACCAATTTTAAAAAGTATTCTTATAAAGATTTATTGAATCTTTAATGTCCAGGAATTTCAGCCGTTTAAAAACTCTGGGGGAAAAGGATATCCATCAAAAATCTGTTAGCCTTTGCTAGAGAAAAAGACCTTGTATTACATATGCCAAGATTTACAATCAGATAGATCACTGGAAACAGACACAGCTCTGTTCATTTCTGTTTATGGTCTTTGTCAAAAAAAAAAAAAACACAACTATTTACACATGAATTGAACAATTTTTTTATATGATTTCTCTCTGTTGTTCTTTTATGCTCCTAAGCTTTATTATACCACCTATGTGAATCCATGACCTCCACAAATTACTTTTAAATTAGAAACTGTAATAGTTTTCAGGATACAATAGGCTACTATCATTAATAATTTTAACAAGTCAAGAAATAAAAGCACTAGAAGTTAAAAGCTTACAAATCAGAATAAACCTTGGAAGGCTCTAGTCCTGCATCCTTTTTTTATAAAAGAGCAAAGAGCCTTGGAAAGGTAAGCACATTGTCCCTGGTCTCATGGGCAACACATACAAAAACTACCACTTACTGTGCTACCATGTACACATATTATTACATAATTAAATATTATGCACAATTATAGATGTAAATCAAAATTTTCAGCTTCTAATTAATGCTCTGATTAACCTAAATAATACTTGATACAGCAAAATGACATAAAAGCCAATTAGGAGAACAGCTGGTATTGTTTCACAGCACCAGAGAGCACCCTAGGCTACCACTGAAGGGTAAGACACCAAAATTTCACCACCAGTGCCTGAAAAACCAACCCAACTGTCTGTTAAACCAACAATGCTTTCCACAGCATCATCTTCATACATGAGAAATTACATTTTATTGCATTATAAGAAGTTCCTTTCCTCTAGCAAAGGCTAACAGATCTCTGAATTGTATGTCCCTCTTCCCCAGAATTTTCAAATGGCTGAAATTCCTGAACTCTCAAAACTCTTATTTACACCTCTTTATTATTTTTAAAGGAACGGCACCAACTGTTTGGCAATGATACACATAATGCAAAGGCTCCAACCTTATAAAAATGTCTTTAATGGTTCTGACTTACAAAGAAAGGAGTCCCTTGTTTAATTAAGTCTTGCAATCAATAAATTTATCCAGGACAGGAGTCACATAGTAGGACTCTGTAGAATCAATTCCATTATCTAAAATAAAATGCATAATTGGCCCAAGAAAGATAATGCAGTCAAACATACACTCAGGAATGTTATCTCTGTGTCACCATTTAGGAATGACATCCCAATAGGCCATGGGAAAGCGGAGTCCCCAGAATCACTGGGGGCCCTCCCGTCACAAAGCTGACATTACAAATCAAGAGGGAACTGCATTTCAAACCACATCTTTAGCTGTCCCTGCCAGTCACAGGTATAGTAAGCGAATACAATGCTCCGAACAGTTAAGTGTGGAAACATTTAACATGAATCCCAGCACACACTGAGCCACTGATGCGCTGCCCGGGTCACGCACTGCACACTACCTAACAAGTGTTAGATGTGCTTCAGCATGCCCCAGCCCCGTGCCTCTCTAAAGAACTGGCAGTGGTGCTGAAAATCACTACTAGACAGATGAAAGACCAATTGCCTCCTCTCAACAAAAACCATCCTCTGGACTCCAGCCAGGGTTTAAACCTGACCAAATGTTATTAGAAACCATAAATCAACAACTCTACAGGCTGTTCTGCTAGTGCCTTATTTCATTCTTACAAAACGGGGCTGCAAAACACTTTCAGCAAATTAAGTGACAAGAAAGCACTGGGCATTCTAGGCCTTTCATTTCCAGCAGTAATCAAACACTGCACCTTACAAGGGAACGAACTTTGCCTTCTTCACGATGCTGTAACATACCTACCTACACCCCTGTCCCCGTCCTCAATTCTCACAATGGCCGTACCAATGCACAAACTGATTGCTAATGCCTAAACACTTCTCACGAAACTCACATAAAATTGAAACAGAGCGCTAAAGCAGATGAATTTACGAAAGCCTGTCATGCGTGTGTTCACACGGAGTTTCTCCTCTTTGTTCCCGCATCGACGTGAATCTTGGAGACTGCACACAACCTTTCTTGGCTGAACCGCCAGTTACTGAGAATAACCTATGCAGCGCCTAAAGGCCACCGGGCAGCCTGCCTGCTCAACACATAAATGGGTTCATTACCTTTACTTGCCCCTCTATCAACCTAATATTATCTCTGTCTATTAAATATCTTCCAGGAGCTGTCACAGAAATCGGGGGAGGGTAAGGTATAGTGTTTACAATAGGGTCATTCTCACCCCAGCCAACAAAAACTTAGCACAAAACCTGAAAATTCAAATCATTCTCTTCCCTCCATTCCAAAATAATAGAAGAGCCGATACCAAAGATGCGATTATTCAGTAATACTTCGTGCAATCAGTAAGAAGACAAGTCACCGTGTCACCAAAGCCGAACAGCCGATGACAACAACACACTGGCAAACCGTCCCCGCTGCAAATACGATGGACATTTAAATCAAGTTGCAACTCCGCTCCAAAGCCTTTGTCAACACGGGGCAAGTGGGCAAGAGCCCCCAGGGCTCTGCGGAACGCAAGCAATCCCTGAGGGGGCTTCGCCCGCCGGAGGAGGCTTCCCGGGCGAGAGGTGCCAGAGAGCCACAAGCCCTAACCTTGGCGAGGGGGCGCTCGCCCGGGGCCGGGGCCGGGGCCGGGAGGTCAGGGCGGCCAGGGCGGCCAGGGCGAGGGGAGGGTAGCGCCCGGCCGCCGCGACCCCGGGCCGCCCACCTGCGGCTCGCCGGCCCACCGCGCCCGTGCCCTTCCTCCCCGCCCGCCGCCCGCGGATCCGTTACCCCGGCGGCGGCGGCGGCGGCGGGCTGCGGGGGAGGGGAGGACCGCGGGGCCCGGAGGGGCCGGCCGCGGCGGGGATGCCGCAGTGGCTCCCCGCGGCGCCGGGTCGAGGTCCGCAGGACGGAGGGCGGCTGGGGAGGCTAGGACGCGCGAGACGGCGGCCCCTGCGAGTCCTCCCACACCCCGGCCGCCGCCGGTACCTCATACTGGATGTACTGCTTCCTCCACTCGGGAGTGATGTGCGCGGAGAGGTGCTCGGCGAACTTCATCCTGCCGTCTCCCCCTCACTCCCACTCGGGTCCGGCAGCTCCAGGCGGCGGCAACAGCGACTCCGACTCCTCCCCACATGGGCCCCGGCGCGGCGCGGCGCTGCGCTTCTCTCCTCCTCCGCCGCCGCCGAGGTCTCCTCAGAGCCGCCCTCCCGCCATCTTCCTCCTCCTCTCCATAGCCCCGCCCCGCCCCGCCCTCTATACGTCATCGCCATGGTAACCGCCTACGCCGCAGCGCCGGAGGGGGGTAGGGGCGGGGTTTGGGAATCTGGGTCCACCCCTTAGGACTCCGCCCCTTTGGGGGCGGGACGTGCTGGAGGCACCTCCCCTGACCTCTTCCGTCTGCTCCCGGTGGCCTGCAGCTGCTCCCTACCGCCTGCCTGAGAAGCAGCGCTGTTGTTAGTGCAATTAATATTAATACTGTAGCAACGACAGTCCACACCAGACATTCATATTTGCAGAGAACTGTGCAAATATTATTCCATTTTAATATTTATTTTTCATAAGACCCTTCAGGGTGGATCAGCATTAATCCAAATTGAGTAGCTAAAACAGATCAATAGGGCCAAATGTATTTAAAGGAACAGCATTTGCAGGCTGTATGACTGGGTACTTAATAAATGCTTGTTTAATTTAATTAAAGAGGCCGGTGCTGAAGAGATCCTGCCGCTTCTGAATTTCAGTGTAATTTTCTAGTCCCACAGTTACCAGAAAGGCCGTTATCTTAAACCCAAGTCAGGACGAGGGAGTATCAACTGGACTTGTGACTGAGCCTCTTGGGAGTTAGAGGTGAGGGTTGGGAGGAAAACCAGTGTGAGGAAGAAGGAGACTTTCCTGCAGGTACAGCACCAAGCCCAGGGAAACCACAAATAGGCTGAGCTGTCCCGGAGGGGACAGAGGAAGAGATCCCTGATAGACCTCAGCACTACATTGAGTGTGGGAGTGCTTGTCCTGGAAGGCTCGATTTGATTCAGAAACCTAGCCCCTGTGCTGGTTGGAGGAGCCCTGGACAATAACAATAACTCCTATTTCTTGATCACTGTCCCTGTAGCCAGCACCGTCTAAATCCCTTATGTGTACTTTGTTCTTTAACTCCCACGGTGTTGATGAGACTTGAAGACTGACGAGGCGATTACTGTGCCTGGGACAGTATTTCTGGGATACCAAGCTCTGCTCTTGGATTTTTTTTCCTCTCTTTGTATTTTTCCCTTTTCTCTCAACTTAATTTATGCCAACAGGGGTTCTGCAAGGCTTCCGTCAGAAGAGGGATGAGGCATGATAGAAAGCAGGCAGAGGCTATGAGACCTGGGTTTTGTTGTACAAAAGCCTCAAGCTCTGGTCAAGGGTACTCAGGGCCTCAAACAAAAAACGAGGAGGAATGCTTCACCTCTGTCCCCTACCCTTCGGCCCACCATAAAGATTCCCTCCACTGGAAGTAAACAATGCCGGGAGAAGGACACAGACGAAAGAGAAGGAGGCACAACCACAGAGTGGAAACGGCTACATGGTGTGCCTAAGGAGATGGAACAAGAGGCAGCCGGGAGAAAGCTTCCTGGGCCTTTTGCCAGACAGGGTCTAGAATGGTAGACTCCTGGCAGTGACCCCTGCAGACCAGGGCATGGTGCCCCCAGCAGATACGGCTTACTGTGCACAAGAGTCTGAAGCCACAGTGCAACCCAGAGAAGAAGGAAATCTGCAGTATGAGCTCTAAAACCAATGATTCTTCCGTTTTCTCATCCTTGATTCAGAGCCCTACTACCCAAATGGATGTGAAAATCCAGCTCCCTGCTAATGCACCTGGGAAGGCAATAGAAGATGTCCCAAGTGCTTGGGCCCCTGCACCCATGTGGGAGACCCAGAAGAAGCTCCTGGCTCCTGGCTCCAGCCTCGCCCAGCCCCACCATTGCAGCCATCTGGAGAGTGAAGCGTGGATGGAAGACCTCTCTCTCTCTATTTCTCCCTCTCTCTCTCTGAAACTCTCAAATAAATAAATAATGGCACAGCAAGTTAAGCTGCTGCTTGCGATGCTGGCATCCTGTATCAAAGTGCCAGTTCAAGTCCTGGCTGCTCCACTTCCAATCCAGCACCCTGCTAGTGCACCTGGAAAGCAGTAACAGATGGCCCAAGTGCTTGGGCCCTGCCACCCACATGGGAGACCCAGACGGAATCCTGGTTCCAGCTTGGCCCAGCACTGGCCATTGCAGTCATTTAGGGAGTGAACCAGTGGATGAAAGGTCTCTTTCTCTCTGTATCTGTCCCCCAATGAATCATTCTGCCTTTCAAATAAATAAAATCTCAAAAAAAGGGAAAGATAGACCCACAGCGGGGCTACAATGTGACACTGTTGTAACTGCGGTATGTACAAGGAAACATCCAACAGATGGGACATTCATAAAGGATGGTGTCACGGAGAAGCTGATTTTGAAACCCAGTCTTAGACAGCCTTGTGGCAGGGGAAATGACACCCCAAGGATCTCAACGGCAAAAAGCAGGAAGTCAAGATTGTTTAAAAAAAAAAAAAAGGCAGGAAGTTGTTCAGTTGTGATCTCCTTCCGGGCAGCTAAATGTCCCCTTCTCAAAGAGCCTCTCTCTCTCCTCCTCCCACGCTGTCTCTACCCTGGCTCCCACGTTACCCTCCTGCACTGAACGTGAGCTCCTGGAACACCAGTCACTCATTCCCCTGGTCCTCTCCAGCTTCACACAGTGCCTAGCACTCAGGCATTCGGTAGATGTTGAAGGAAAAGAAAGGAAAAGAAGCGAGGGAGAGATGAAAGGAGAAGGGAAGGGCAGGCCACCTGGAGGGCGGTGGCAGGAAGCACAGAGTGTAAAAGACCGAAGGACCGGTCACACAGCATAGGCAATGCCTGTGGGGTCCTGGAAAAAGCCGAGGCTGCGAGTGACTGACTCAGTTTGAAAAAGCTGTGCATATCACGCAGCTTCCTAATTTTGAACACTGGCTTGCAAGACTACACAGATATGAGTTAAAATCTCTACTCTGGCATTTACAAACTGCACAACCTTGGACGAAATGCATTAGCTCTTAACTCCTCTCTCAGATGGGGTTTAGAATACCTCCCTCACAGGTTACTGAAAATCAAATGCGAGTGTGCATATAAAGCACTTCACTCAGCGAGTACCCTCCCCAAACACTTAATAACCTCTGCCATGTAAAGGAGGGACCACAGCAGGGACAAACCCAGGACCAACTTATTAACACGCACCTATGCAGCACTTAGTATGTGCCAGCCATCTTTCAGCAGATTGAAGTAATGCTCACAAGAACCCTAGGAGGTCACTATCCTTGTTTTAGGTCTGAATAAACTCGGAGGGACTCAGCATCACCTTGCTCACCTAGTAGGTGGTACACCTGGGTTTGGACTCAGGCAACCCAGCTCCAGAGCACTTGCTCTTGAGCAGTAGGGCACGTTGAACGCTGAGGCAACAACTCCAACCAGTCACGATAAGGAGCCACAGAGACTGTGACATCCGACCGTAACTCTAGTGCCAGGGGAGGTGAAGCCATCATGAGCCAAGGAGTGCAAGTAGACAGCAGGTCTGGGGTGTAATGGGACTTGTCAAGTATGTAGGAATCTGGGGGACGCGCGATACTCCAGTTGGATATACAGATTTAGAGCTCTGGAAAGAGAAGACTGAAGACTGGGCAGTCATTCACATTTAAGTGACAGTTAAGTCTGATAAGCCTGTGCAGGCAGAGAGAGCGAGCACAGAGTGAAATGGAAGAGAAGCCGAAGGAACATCCTGGTGTGAGCTTGATGAAGGCGGCTGAAGGAAGGAAGCTGAGATGTAGCCGAGTGACAGCAGACGATTAGGAGAGAGCAGTGTCAAGGAAGCCAAAAAGGGCCGGCGCCGCGGCTCACTTGGCTAATCCTCCACCTGCGGTGCCGCACCCCGGGTTCTAGTCCTGGTTGGGGCGCCGGATTCTGTCCTGGTTGCCCCTCTTCCAGGCCAGCTCTCTGCTGTGGCCAGGGAGTACAGTGGAGGATGGCCCAAGTGCTTGGGCCCTGCACCCGCATGGGAGACCAGGAGAAGCACCTGGCTCCTGCCTTCGGATCAGCATGGTGCGCTGGCCGCAGCGGCCATTTAGGGGGTGAACCAACGGAAGGAAGACCTTTCTCTTTGTCTCTCTCTCTCTCTCTCTCTGTCTAACTCTGTCTGTCCAAAAAAAAAAAAAAATTAAAGGAGGAGGTATTCATCAACAAAGGCAGATGTCACGGAGAAATTGAGTAGGGTGACTTCCAAGTTATTGGATTTAGTATGTAGAGTGTCATGGGCTCTAATGACATGCAGGCTGCAAAAGGCCAAGCAATGAACAGCATTTTGCTTCTGCACATCCTAGATTGCAGTTATTTAGTGTGCACATTGTAGGATGACCAGGAGTGAGCATCTAATACTGTACTCAGCAATTTATCTGGGAATTTGCAAGTGCTGAGTTAGAACGCTTTATATTTATCACACGTAATTCTAAGTTTTACAACAGTTATACTTACCACAAACTAACTGTTCTAAAACTTAGAATTACATGTGATAAATATAAAGTCAAACTGTTCTTGAGAAAACTAGACTGGTGATCATGCTAAAAGGTGAGGAACCGGCCTGCAGAGAGGTCAAATCTGCAGCTACACTTCTCACTGAAGCAGAACAAGCTAGATGACACAGGACTAAAGATCATATTCCCAGCATAGGCCAGACTCAACTCTGCGGGGCCCACGCCAGCTTTTTTTTTTTTAAAGATTTATTTATTTATTTGAGTTACACAGAGAGAAAAGGCAGAGAGAGAGAGAGAGAGAGAGGGAGAAAGAGAGAGAGGTCTTCCATCCACTATTTCACTCCCCAGAAGGCCGCCACGGCCGGAGCTGTGCAGATCCAAAGCCAGGAGCCAGGAGTTTCTTCTGGGTCTCCCACATGGGTGCAGGGGCCCAAGGACTTGGGCCATCTTCTACTGCTATCCCAGGCCACAGCAGAGAGCTGGATCAGAAGTGAAGCATCTGGGACTTGAACTGGCACCCATAGGGGATGCCGGCACTGCAGGTGGCAGGTTTACCCACTATGCCACAGCACCGGCCCCGACCAGCTTTAAAACATGATAGACTTCTAGACCCAACAGCAGGTCCATGTATGGGCTCCAGATGCCTGTGATCTCCCTAAAATCACATGTAACACTGT